GTTTTGACAAAAAAAACACGTTTTGATGAATTGTGTGACATTCTTTTAAAACTTTAAAAAATTATTTTTGTTGAAACCAAGGAACACCGAGTTTCTTGCCCGTATTGACTGGCTAAGTGGCGGATGATTGCTTTTATCGTTTTGAAAGTCACGCTGAGGTCTCCTGCAATGGACACTGCCATCTTGTGGCCGTTTCGTTCAAAAGTGAAACAAAAACTCAAAAGTGGTGGGGGCGGGCGGACCATGAGTGGCGGTGTCGCCACTGCTGAGAATCGATCTCGAGTTCCAACCATGGCTTCTACCACGCTTCATTTAAGACCGCAAGGATTCTCTCGTGTGTGGCAAGTTGACATGCATCCCACTGGGATTTTTGCACACAATGTTGGTGTACGGTGCTTTTTGTGCAATATTTTGCTGTCTTTTCTTGGATTTTCTGTTTGCACATAGTCACTTTTAGATGTTTTCTTTTTCGATTTAAAGCTTTCGTGACTGCAGGGATTCATCTTCTTGGTTCTTTCGGTAAAGTCACGTAGAAGGGAAATAATAAAAATAAAGCATACGAAATTAATACAATAATAAAAATAAAACATACTAAAATAATGATGTTTTATTTTTATTATTTTATTATTTCCCTTCTAAAAAAAATAAAACATAATTATTTTATTGGTTTATTTTTATTATTGTATTATTTCCCTTCTACGTGACTTTACCGAAAGAACCAAAAAGAAGATGTTTTCTTGTTCATGTTTTTGTTTGTTGCGGTTGCACCCGATTCAAGAGCCGAATGGCTCACAGAGCTATACCTAATACATGAACTTGAACTTGAGTGGACTCAGCTCAGCCAGAATGATTGCACGTAAAGACACGATGTTCCATTTGGAGGGGGTTGCAACTTCGTTTGATAAAAAAAATAAAGTTCTCAAAATTTTACTAATTCTTCCAACAATGCAATGTACTTCTAACAGAAATTATTGCAAAATGTTAATTGAAACATAAATTCGTGTAGTTAGTAATACCTCATGATTACTGAAAGGCTTGTCTGTAAACTCAATTAGCTACCAACAGTGTAACAATTCATATGCTAATTTATAAACTGCTCCATCAGAAAAAAAGTTTTCACGCTTTCATTCTAAACTGCAGTCTCGAATGTATTATTTTTATTTCTATCTACGTGAATTTACCGAAAGAACCAAGAATATGTGAGTCTCGAACTCTTATTATCCACGACAGTATAACTCTTCACCTCTCTAATTAAGTGCCATAAAGAAGGGCCATAGCCCGAAACGTCGCCTATTATGTTTTTCCTCATAAGGCCAGTGTTATTGGGGAATGTATTGAGATGATTGTTGTTGTTACATGTCTACAATCTGCGACCAGGTCTGAGGCGCCATCGTGCGTTTTATTTGATCAATGCCGGACTAAGCTTAGCAGTTTGCACAGAGGCTAAGGAGTTGTCTGACCACGTTTGATGATTAATATCGCTAAATACATGTACCGTGCATTATTAAAATACTAATGTAAAAAGTACAACATACAAAATAATTAAGAGTGGCATTGTGGAGAAAATAATCATACAGAGAATGTGAAGGTACAATACTCTAGATTTGACGTTTTCGTGACTGCAAGGATCCATACTCTTTGGTTCTTTCGGTAAAGTCACGTAGGTTAAAAATAAAAGTAAAAAAATCAAAAAATTGAATCAATTAAATAACGACGTTTCGATCGCAACACAAGCAATTATCATTAGGTGTGAAACCAACAGCGAGAAACCCTACACTGAAGTGGGAGAGAAGGGGCCAAGGAAATTACTGGTAGGAACCTCCTGGTTACACCAGCCCACAGGGAATTATTGTGTCCGTCGTGCAGGGAGAGGCTGGGTGGGGAGGGTGGGGAGGGGCTGGGTGGGGAGGGTGGGGCTGGGTGGGGAGGGGCTGGGTGGGGCGGGGTGGGGAGGGGCTGGTCACCCCGTGGTGCCCTTATAAAACTGAACGTTTAACCTACTCACGCCAGCTTGTGCCCGCCCTCACAGTCGGCCATATTTGCGGAATACACCACGCCGCCGTTGACCCTGGCCATTGACCGAGCAACCCAACGTTCCTACCAGCCCCCTCCGCAGGAATGTGTTATGAGTCAGAGAGAGGTGGGGGGAAGTGGAGCATCGTCAAAGGCAGCAGCTAAAACGGTGGGGGAGCCCAAAGTAAAATAGCAGTACACTGCTAAACTTTAGGGATGCAGTTAACTCGGTAAAATAAGCTAGTATCTGAAAAATAAGATGGGACAACTGTGAAGAGTTAAATGTTTACCTGGTTAATAACATCTTTCCAATGATTGCTCAATTTGTAACCATCTTCTCGGTTGAAGTTATGTCTATGTTTGTATATCTGGATGGCTTCATGAACAAATCTTTGATGGTAGCCAGACGGCTTGCAGAGCACTTTGGTCTCAGAGAAAACAATACCATGAGAGCCCGCAGCGTTGTGGCAGTGATCATCAACGGCGGAAGAGTTAGTCCTGCCGTGTTTCATATCTGCCTTGTGCTCGCGAATACAGTCTGATACGTGTCGTTTCGTTTCCCCAATGTAACAATCACCACAAATGCAACTCAGTTTGTAGACTCCAGGGTATTGCATGTCAGGAATGAATCATTTTTTTACTTTTATTTTGAACCTACGTGACTTTACCGAAAGAACCAAAGAGTATACAATACTGTATTTCTTCCTGTCATCCACAGGTGTAAGATATACTGGACGTACGGTACTGTTATTTGTGCCATGCTGTATATGTGAGGGAGATATCATATTGAGAATGTCAGTTACGTGACTATTGTTCGTGAGGTAATTATAACGCTTTAATGAGCGGCCAGTTATTCGACGCAAACGTCATTGCAGCATTTTATTAAAATAAAGCGTACAGGAATAAATATTGTTATATATTTTTTGTACCTTGTACACCACTAGCTGCCAGTGCTATTCAGTGGCCTAAAATAAAATGTCTCGCTCCGGATGATCACTGCAAAGTATGACCTGCGTTTTGATTTAGTGTGCTGATCTTAAAGGTGCATTGAAAAATTATGATACTCCGACTGATGCTCCTGCCGTTGTGGAGTGACTCATGCAGCCAGCTATGGCTGCAGGGTTTTGGTAGTGCATGTTGTTTATGTCGTTTGTTGTGAAAATTCCATCACAGTTCCTATGATCACTGTTTCATTGCTTTCATGGCTTTATTTTGGTGATTTCGAAAAGTTTTTTGGGTTTATTTGTTGTAGTACGGAGTAAGACTGATGGCCTTAATCTAAGTTGTCTTGTGGTTGTTGTTTGACTTGCATCCCACTGGGATGTTTGCACACAGCGTCGGTGTACGATGTTTATTCTGCAATATTTTGCCGTCTTTTCTTGGATTTTCTGTTTGCACTTAGTCACATATTCACTTTAAGATGTTTTCTTGTTCATGTTTTTGTTTGTTGCGGTTGCACCCGATTCAAGAGCCGAATGGCTCACAGGGCTATACCTAATAAATGAACTTGAACTTGTATTAATCACCACTGTATAAGGCACAGTACGGTATAAATTGTTACACTTGGAGGAGAGTCACGCCACTGCCACGTGACCCCGCACGGCACAACCAGATCACCACCATCAACCACATCACCACCATCAACCACATCACCACCACCACCATCAACCACATCACCACCATCAACCACATCATCACCACCACCATCAACCACCACGATGGGCAGACAGCCCCCCGTCGGTGCCCGCTACACACTTCGTCAACACTTTGTCACTTAGTAATAGGTTTTTACCCTTTCAACTGGTACAAAAACTGAAACCTTTATACAAGGGATGATGTTTGCAATAACCACAACACAAGCAGTCAAAATGCAAACAAAAATAAACTGATAATTATTTGCACTGTTCTTGAAGTTGATTGGTTCACACCCGAGACAGCTTTCCTTAGAGCCTAGTCTCCATTGGTGTTGGACCAGATGACGCCAAAAGGCGTACAACTCAAAAACAGCGCACTATCAGAGTATTGAGAGCTCGGGGTAAGCATTCGTCAACACTTCGTCACTTGTTTCCACTTTCCTCTTCTCTCCTGTGCCCCAATATGCTCGATTGGCGGCCACATCTTTCCGGCACCGATCTCTTACGGCGTCGTCAAGCCATTCTCCTGTCCTCTCTTTACGGCTCGTTCCATTTCTCACACACCCCTGTTGTTCTTGTTGTAGTCCACCTTACACCTACACGTGTAACGTACTCGTGTAACGTAGTGCCCACAGAGTGCCAGTTTCATTCTAGATTTGAAGTTTTCGTGACTGCAAGGATTCATATTCTTAGGTTTTTTCGGTAAAGTCACGTAGGTAAAAACATCAAAATTAATGAAAATAAAATTAAAAAAAAAATCACGACGTTTCGGAGGCAACACAAGTCTCCGTCATCAAGTGGGACCGTCACAGCCGAATTAGCTGTATCAAGTGAGGCAATGATTCAAGATGTAATCCCTTATAAGCAAGTTGAAGGGGGGGAGGAGAGGGGGGGGGAAGCTCATCAGAATGTGGTAGCCAATGAATGGAAAACGTATCGGGAGGGAGGGGGGCGGGGCTCAAAGACAGCACGTAGTGCTCATCCTCATCACTGCCAACACCACAACATGAACGGCTGAATAAATCGTTTTGCACGCGTCACTTATCGCGGCCATCTTACTCAGGGACTCCCTGTCGCCCATTCGCCAGCACGCGTGCTGACGTCACGCCCCTGCCCCGCCCCCGCCTGAGCCTCCACGTTGCCGTGGGGAGAGCGGCAAGACGAGGGGGGGGGGGCTAGCGAGGGGGAGGGGTTTGAAATCCCCCCCCTTTTTAACCAAGATGGCGGATCCCCTTCCCCCCCACCTCCCCGCGTCTTCTCGCCTTTTCCCGCGTATTTTCTCGCGTCACGTGACGGCTCGCGGACCAATGGCCGTATGAGATAGGAGGAGGGAGGAGGAGTCGGCCGAGTGAGACCCGCCCCCTCTCCCCCTCCCCCCCAAGGGCCAAGCGGCAATCGACGGCGGAATTGACTGCGGAGGGAAACGCGCGCGCGCCAAGAAAATCAACGGCCAGCACCGAGAACCCTCGACGACGACGACGATGTCGAGCGGAGCGGCGCACGAGAACGGCTCTTATGGCGACATGGAGCAGCGGGAGTCGCGTAAGAGGACGATGGACGCGCCCGGCGAGGGCGACAGCAACAAGCGCACGCACAAAGGTGGAGGCCTCTGCCCTCGCGGCGGCGCAGGCGCCATCATCACCACCAACCAACCAAAAAAAAACATCGGCCGTGCCTCACACCCCGTCGGCCGCACTCGCGTGCGCGCCCCACCTCGCTTTACTTAACGTCTCGTGGCTGGGGGGTTCGTTTGAGTTAATTTGGTCCCCCCCCCCCCGCCGCCGCGATTGTTTCCTATCCCCGTGTCGCCTTTGCGATGGATGTGGAGTTTGCGGCCTAGTGCGAGTCCGTGGGGCAACCCCCGCTGCTTGCCTGAGTTTCCCGCCGGGGATGAGGCGAGCGAGGCCCGCGCCGCTGCTCAGGCAAATGTCGGGAGGGGGGGTAAAGGCGTTTTGCTAGGCCCAGCCGCGTGGAAGCAGAGGCCGGCAGCGAAAACCACACAATTGGCTTATATTATTGCACGTATGTCATTTGTATCGATTTATATGCAGATTTACACTTTGGTGGGGTTTTGCATGCAAACGGGTCCGCCGCGGTCGTAACGCGTGTAAGTAAGCGCCTTTAACGAAATCCCCTTGTATTTAAATGGCGAATGTGTGAGGGGTTGCTGCGGCTAGTTTATTCGCTGCTACCGCTTTACATAACATCCGAGGCATCGTTGCCCTTGCATATAATTACATTGTAACACCTGAGGAGGGTGGAGGGGCACAACGTGTAACGCCCGTTGTGTGCAACGGCCTCATCGGCCGAGCTCGCGAAGCCAACCCAACTTCAGCGCTCTGCTGCTTCTACATCACGTACATTTTATCTTCGCCTTGAGCAATGATTTAAATAACAGACTCGGTGTAAGCGTTATGCTTAAGGGGGGGGGGGGTTAATTCAAACGCAAAACCATCCCATGAGCCAGCGGTTTGATGACCGGTAGCATGAAACGCCCTAAGTAAGCTATTTTGCTGAAGTATTTTCTATACATTTCATTGTTAATACATGTAGATACATTTGTGACGCTGTAAGCAATGCAGTGAATCCCCACTTAACATTGTTTCATCAAACCTATTGAGGGATTTTTATTTTGACGAATGCAATATAAATAATAATGTACAGCTGTTTGTAAATCCACTGCTGGATGAAGGCTTCACTGCGCCATATCGTTCGTGGGGGTTTGACCGTCCAGTACTCGGCTAAGTTTGTCAATATGGGTTGGTGAAGGTGGTGTGGGGATGCCGGACAGGCGCAATATCACTCTCCACGGATGGTAGTCGCGGCAGGGAGTCAGATTGTTTGAGTTCAGAGCGCAGTGCCCTAACCACTGCACCACCACTCGACTACCTATTGATTTATAAGACTCATTTCACCGGCTGAAATAGGTTTTAGAGGTTTAATATGGAAATACCAAATAAACCTCAAACTAATTTCAGCGTGTTGAAATGAATTCGAAGGGTTTTTTTAATCAAATCCGAAAATTCCAACATAGGGCGGGAACTTAATGTCATATACCAACATGTGAGGTGTGAAAAAAATAACTATCATCATTATTTTCACTCACTTTGTGACCTTCAACTAAAAATTTCCGCCCCCTTGTCAATCAACTGCTGGACAAAGGCCTCCCAACCGTGGCGGCCGTAGGATTAGTTTGACCGTAGGTGTGACCACGCTGCTCGGCATGGGTTGGAGGAGGGGCCCAGAAACAGATCCGACATCACTGGAGCCACTTATTGAACGTGGTTGGGAATCAAACTCAGGTTTCTTCAGGGTGGGAGGGGGTTCAGAGTGCGGATCATGAACCACTATATTACCACTGATACCCCACCCAACCCCTGTTTTTATGTTTTACCGCAAAGATCCCACTTAAGTTGTGTTGCACAGCCATTCAAGCACGTGGAGTTGATCATTTTAAACTCGCACGGCTGTTAGCCGCCATGATGATAAAGCTACTGCTGCTTGAAGGCCTGTTCAATGATTCACACCCACGGCTAGTCTTGTGGTTGATGTAAAAATGCACCGAGAACCTACAAATGGTTACATCTCATCGCTCCATCTCCAAGCTGAATAGCATTTTTTTACATTCTCACTTCGTAACAGGTGAGAAAGCAGGTTATTCTTGAAACCGGAATATGATTGTATGTTCTCAGTGGTACTGGCTCAATAGTCAGTTCAGTTCATTTATTAGGTATAGCCCTGTTAGCCATGCGGCTCTTGAATCGGGTGCAACCGCAACAAACAAAAACATGAACAAGAAACATTTTAAAGTAACTACGCTCAACAGAAAAATCTAGGAAAAAGCATAAAAGTCTTTCAGAAAAAGCACCGTATATCAATGCTGTGTGCAAAAATCCCAGTGGTATGCAAGTCAAACAATAACAACCGTAAGGCTATTTAGATTAAAGTTTTCGGTCTAACTCTGTACTACTACAAACAAATATGGCTAAACCAAAAGTTTTCGAAATCACCAAAATAAAGCTATAAAAACAATGTAACAGTGCTCATAGGAACTGTGATTTAAATTTTATAATAACGATATACATAACATACATGTACGACCAAACTTTGCAGCCATAGCTGGCAGCATGAGTCGCTCCATAACAGCAGGAGTATCAGTAGGAGTATCAAAAATGTTCAATGCACCTTTAAAGATCAGCACACTATAATAAAAACTCAAGATCATACTTTGCAGCGGTCATCCGGAGCGATACATTTGATTTCAGGTTACTGAATAGCAGTGGCAGCTAGGGGTGTACAGCTCCTCTAGAGCACATTAGCCTTCTTGGGCACATGGTCACTCATTAGACAAAAATTGTGACAACTGGAATAGGCTGAGATAAAAAAAACTGAATACATAATCATTGATTATTTGACAAAACAAACTCGATACATTTGAGGATTAAGTTAAATATTAATTTGATTAGTTTTCAATTTATTTACTGTTCTATCTATGTGACTTTACCCAACGAATATGAATTCCCTGCAGTCACGAAAGCTTGAAGTCCACATGTAATTTTAATAATTGATATATTTTTTGGATTTATGCACATCTATAAATGTGACTGCATAAAAATACAATCAGAACCGGTGAGCATATTTATTTTGAAGTAAAAGTGAATGTCTTCAGTCTAGACTTAAACATTACTATAGGATACATCTTAAGTAAAAATTTCCCTGTACCGCAAAGTGTAAAATCCACTAAAGTTGGTTTGTGAAAACTGACATTCAAATCTAAATGTGGTCTCAATGTAGACTCTTAAATCCACTTTGCCGTGTAACAGCTATTGCATGGACAGCTTTGCCAGTGGATTCTGAGGAAATGAGTGGGACGTTGGCACTAAGAGAAGTAATGACGGAAAATACTTTAAAGTTTCTGGCATTCGGCATTTTTGTAGGCAGGTGTGAACAAAGGGAGGGGCAGTTTGCTCCGCACCTCAGATCTGAGGAGACCTTAGCAATACATCTTAACAACTCTTTGGCAGCTCCAAAACGAAGCTGTGATTACAATTTAATCTGGTCAAAATACTTCGGATTGTGTGTGAGAATCATAACAAAGTATGCTCACGTAGCAATCAAAACTGTAGAAATTAAACAAAATAAAGAATGCAAACAGTGTAACTTGTTCATGAGCCAAGACCAAATATTTCACTTGTCGATCACTCCTGAGGTGGCATAATGATAGTATAGCAAATTTCCTGCTTTACGTTTCGCCCTTCTATGTCGTGTTGCAAATCTGTTGTCACTTCATTAACACCGCTACCCGATTAGCGTTGCCTCAACCCACATGTCGCTAACAGCATCGGCCGTCCCCCCTCGTATCCGTCACCGCGGCCTTCGCATCCACCCTACCCTGTACACGAACTACTGCGCGTCACGCATGAAGAAATATACTATGCTGTGGACTACAATATTTTATTTATGTACAGTCTTTTGGTGGATGGAAAAATTGCTTTTATTACGTCGTTTCTATGAATGTTGAACTTCTTCCGCACCGTACGTAGCCAACCGTGCGAATTGGAGGTTCCAAATATATTCGTTGCACATTTCAGGAATGCATCCCTGACGCAAACCGGGCTATTGCTCTAGTTTTAAGTTCTTAATATGGCCGGTACCATTCAATTATGTGATAACCATTTGAAATTAGTGGGTTCTCAAATAATTAACCCTTAATAGCTGAACAAAAAAAATCGCTACGGCTAAAGTTTCACCACCTCGGGTTGTATTGATTTCTGTTCTGGCCCCATGATCTATTGTTCAATGTTAAAATGTATGGTATTGACGTCGAGGGAGATGTTAAATCATCATAAGCCTCAAGATTGAGTTTTCCCACAGCTCCCTGGTGGAGCTAATACATTGAGATATTTAAACACGTGAAAGCGACACCACAGTAAGGAAAGATTACTATTTTCACCTCTGCTGCCTCAGTCGTTTGAAACTCCCTTTCTTCCTGCCATCCATGCTGTCGACTCCCCTGTTCAAGTCCATGATGAAGACCAAGGCACATGGCCGGGCAACCACGGTGGTGAGATGTTAACTACCTCGCCTGGTATACAGGAGGTCGTGGGTTCGATCCCGATGCCTGTATATTTGGAGTTTGCATGTTCTCCCCGTGGTCGTGTAGATTTTTCTCCGGGTTCTCCGGTTTTCTCTCCACATTTAGAAACATGCGTTTCGAGTATTTGGCTACTTAATATTTCCACGAAATAAGCCACATGATGATGATAAGCCACTTAATTGGGATATCATTTGTGGCCAGGTTGCTTCTGACAGAGCTATCTCGATCAGTGGGCCTTACCTGATAAAAAAATGTTTTTACATATTAACATGAGAGCTGTTCTTTGGGTTGCATATTTTAGGTTGGGTTTTTTCCCCATGACGGCTTGCAGTTTGCTGTTCTTACATCGCAGCTTGTATTTTTATTTTGTTTCAAAGCTATTCGCATCACCCCCCCCCCAACCTTAGACGCTGTAGAATTGTGGCAGAACAATACTCGGTTATGAATACGTTTATAATTTTATTATCAACATAACTATTTACACCCTCCCCCCCCCCCTTTGCAGTGGTTCGATAATATATCGTGATTAAGGGGTTATACCACGCACATTTTACAATTCGTTTGTAATTGGTGCTTGTCACCCCTGCAGCCACACTTTTGGCATTACAATTCACCAAAATGTAAAAAAAAGAGTGTTGAGTCAATTATTGACCTTGAATCCATCCAAATGACAATCACGTTGTTGAATCATTCCACCCAAGGGTAGCAATACATTATAACTTATGCAACTGTGGTCAGTTGTATGTGTTAAAATCATCAACGACCTTCAAATATCAATTGCTGGATGAAGACCACCACCCCTGGCCATCACCATCTCTCATGGTCCTGTGATGAATTGATCCACAGAGTACCTGCATCTGAGCTGATTTCATCATTCCATCTCCGTAGTGGGCATTCTCCAGGCTGCATTTACTCTTTTTTTCCTGTCACTCAATTGCTATTCTCTCCCAAAGGTGCATTCTCAAATCCATGTATTCCCTCTTCTGTTTCAATGTAATTCCTAGCATGCACCACACATGCACGCTTTTCAGTTTTCATTCCATGATGGTCAGAATTGTACACGTTATTTCCTATGCCATGGCTAGTAATGTGCATTGGTTGCAAAACAACATCATTTTGAGGTGGATCTGAACCATGGAAATTAATTAAGACATTTTCATTGAAACTGGAAACTTTACAGTATCATGGAAAGTTGCATTCTTGGAACTACTAGCGGTATTTATTGTAATGTCCAATGGTATGTTTCCTAAAAATAAAGACTGCAAATTTGGGTTGAGATGAAAATGGGAAAATCAAATATGTACAACAAGTAAAACAATTTGGAGTTATGTCGGAGAAACAACTGGAAAACAGATCACAGTTTGTATATGTAGGGCAGTTACTGAAGGCAGATCGGCGTCGGGAGTGATAGAGCGAAAATCTGAATTAGAACATGCAAAGGAACTTGCCAGTGTTATAATATGGTGATGTAATGTTAACGCGTTGTACTGCAACGGCGTTGGTCGTTGTCATCGTTTTGCCCGGCAGAGGAAAAGAGCTTCTTCCTGAAGCTGCTGGTGCCGAACTGCGCTGTCGGGGCCATCATGGGCAAGGGCGGCGAGACCATCGTCCAGTTGCAGAACGACACGGGCACCGTGATCAAGATCTCCAAGGCTCGCGAGTTCTTTCCAGGTTCGCCTCCAACCCCTGGCCTTCATGGATTGTGACATGCCCGACATTGTTTTTAGATACTAGTTTACAAAATGGAAGATATCTAGTTTACAGGCGGTTCCCGCTTTTGACAATGCGTTGCTGGAAACCGATTGACGATGACCCCGTCGTAAATCGGACCCTGTTTTCCCATAGACAGTAGAAACATTACTTGCTAATGTTTTTCCAATTAATCCCCATTAAATTAGGCCGTCTTTGTACGATGGTTAGCTAAAAGCTTGCTGCGAGGATGTCTGGAGTTTGCGTGATGGTTTATGCTCCTTGACGATCTCAGCAAGGTATTGTGGTTGATTTGTGGCAACTTTGTGCTTGCTATAAATGAACAACAATACCTTGCCCTTGACGTTGCATGGAGCAGTGTCTGTTTAACGGGACTCAGTGGGGGTGACCACACAAGCCACGTAATTTACTTGAAGTTGTTTTGGATATATTTATAGAATTTGGAAAAACACCACTTACTGATGCACAAGTAATGACCTCGCATCCGTCACCTACCTATTCATTGTCTTGTATGTATAAAATGTCTCGCTTTTTTGTGCAGCGAGATGGCATCGCCATTGCGGTGTTATATTTCGTACTAATTTTACTGCCCTTTGTTAATCCACCGCTGAATGAAGGTCTGCCCACGTGTCAGACGTGAGGTTTGTTTGACCATAAACCATGCTGGTCAGTGCTTGTTGGTGAAGGGGTTTCCCAGATTTGGTTCCAGTTATCGCTCGCCATTGATGTCGGGCACAGCCAGGAATTGAACTTTGGTCGCCAGTTTAAGAGCAAAGTGCACTCCCACTCAATGCAACCGCTCATCGAGTTTCTGTTGCGATGCAGAATTACCCAATTAGACATAGCAATCATCGTCCCCTACTGACAGTCTAGTCCCCAAATGCAAGCCAGCTTATGCCTCAATTTGTACCCACAGGGACAGCTGCCACTGGGGGTGTTTTTCAAATGTGTTGAAAAGACCTGTGATGCAAGTCGCTTATTGCGTGAAAAGCAATCTTGAGACACCCCGGTGTAAAGGGCAGTCAGGCAATTGATTAGTATAACAATCGTATTTTGTCACGATGCCGGTGGCGTTTTGGACCGTCTAAAATCGCTTATGCACCGAAAACGACTCTTCTCCCCCCCCCCCCTCCTCCTCTTTGCTGCCTGCAGGCACCATGGAGAGGGTGGCGCTCGTACAGGGCACGGAGGAGGCCATCGTCCAAGCCCACGACTTCATCGCAGACAAGATCTACGGCTGCCTTGATAAGACTGCGCCAGCCACTTCCACCGAGACGGATCGTGGAAATATGGTATGTGAGTGATGCCAGCGGGTTGGACGGGTTGTTTTTGTCTCGCGCCGTCTTTTACGCCTCTTATCCCAGTTCATTATATTCGCCTAGAGATATGAGAACATGAATGTGCATGCAAGCTAAATATGATTGTATGAAAATATATAATTTGAATTTTTATAACTATAAAATTGGCATACATGCAAACGCTCACGAATGGAATTGACCAAACATCCCAATGCAAGACTTTTGATTTGTGATTGTCTGTTTGAGCCTGAGGCTTTCTTGGAATAAGTCGATGCATTGTGTAATTTAGATTCTTGTATTTAATTTCACTGAAAAACTTTTGTTATTTCCCCCCCCCACCACATTTTTTGGTCGTGGCGTTTGTGTTTTTGCACCAAGATATTTTGCACCTTAGTTTTTGAGGACCCCCCCCATACGTTATACACAGAATCCATTTGGAACTCTCACAAAGCAGTGCAAGTCCACCCGGCGTCCACGTTATAGAGCAGCCCACGGGAGAGACTTTTAATCTCAGTGGGTACTCACCATCTTTTCCGTATGGCCGCAGTGGTTGAAAACACAGCTGTATGGCTTTATACACGCAGTATGGTAATTTTATGCGACATTCCAGGCAACTGTGTCTTTAGCCATGGATAAATCAAACTTTGCATGTATTACTCATCGCATAGTCCGTGTGTGTGTGTGTACATAACTGCACGCCCTTCTGCTGCGGGCAGGGCACCCTTAGTCATCCCCTTGGCCACCAAATTTCATCAGTTTATGAAACCTGTCTGTTGCTGGATTTGACTCGTATTTCTCTATTTGGCTGTCCATGGTTTTACGTGTGATGCAATTACGCAATAGTAATAAACAGACGTCGATCCGTTCCACCACAACAACAAAACATGTACGACCCTCACCCTGTGGGCCTTCTGAGTCTATGTATTTCAACAGCCAACACACAATTGGTTTCGATGCGTTGAAGTGGCAGTATTCATTGAAATTTTGCTATTTGATTCAAGAATAAATTCCCTCTTGGTTCTTTCGGTAAAGTCACGTAGAAGGGAAATAATAAAAATAAAACAATACATTTTTTTTTCCCTTCTACGTGACTTTACCGAAAGAACCAAGAAGATGAATCCCCGCAGTCACAAAAGCTTTAAAACGAAAAACAAATTCCCTTTTTAATGTCCTTCATGTGAGGGGTTCTAACGGCTACAGAGGTGGCATTAACCCAGTTACATACAATGTGTGAATCGGACGGGGCAAGGTGTCACTGACATGGGGGGCACGGCTTGTTTTTTCATTGGATGAGGTGGAAGACTCCAAAGGTTGCTCTGCGAGAGATCCAAATTCATACTTGGTCTCACGACACCATCGCCATAAGCACAATTGGATGAAATTGCTCGGGGGTGGGGAAAATGTATTCATTAACTAGATCATCGATATTAACCGACGCATCATAACCCCACGCTCTCCACGGCGGTGCAGCACGTGAAGATCGTGGTGCCCAACAGCACGGCAGGGCTCATCATTGGCAAGGGCGGCGACACGGTGCGCTACATCATCCACGAGTCGGGCGCCTGGCTTGAGGTGTCGCAGAAGATGACGGGCGGCTGGACGGGCGCAGGGCGCGAGCGCGTCGTGAGCGTGGCGGGCACGCGCGAACAGAACCGCATCGCCGTGCGCCTCATTGTGCAGAAGATCGTCGAGCACCCGGAGAGCAGCAGCTGCCCTCGCCTCAGCTACCCAGCGCAGCCCGAAGGCTACGGCCCGCACTCGGCCGGAGGTCCCAGCGCCGGGGTGCCCGCCTCGGCCCCGTCGGCCTACGCGCAGCAGCAGCAGCAGGCCGCGCCCCCGCACCACCACCAGCAGCAGCAGCACCAGCAGCAGTGGTACGGGCGCGGCGCGGGAGAGTACGCCGCCGCCATGCAGCAGTACCAGTGGCCGCAGGCGATGGCGGCGAGCGGCTACGAGTCGCGCGTCACGGCGGTCCCGCAGCCCGTGCTGCAGGAGGGCTTCCAGGGCCAAGAGCTGCAGGCGGTCACGGAGGCCCTGGACCGCCTGTCCCGCTGCGGCTACAGCATGAAGACCCTGGGCGTGGCGGCCGACGGCACCGAGGAGGAGAAGCAGGGGGAGGCGGCACCCGCCGACGGCTACGGTGTGGAGGAGGTGGGCACCTTGGAGCTGGAGGTGCACGAGTCTCTGATCGGCGCCGTCCTGGGTAAGGGTGGCCAGACGCTCATGGACTACCAGGAGGCAACGGGCACCCGCATCCAAATCTCGCGCGTGGGAGAGTTCGTGCCGGGCACCAACAACCGACGGGTCACCATCCTGGGCACCGCGGCGGCGCGGAAAGCCGCCGAGTTCCTGATCCGCAAGCGCGTCGGCGCCGAGCAGGTCAACCGCGCCACCAGCAAGCGGCGCTAGTGCAGCAGGCGGGCTGGCGGTTGGACGGGCGGGCGGGCGAGCTCATGTCAGCGCCACCTCCGCCCCCCCCCCCCCGCCGTCCACACCATCGCCCCCACCGGGCTAACCCAACCCAGCCGTCCCACCTCCAACATCCTCATCCCATCCCCCACTCCCATCTTCCCCCTTCACCCTAGCATCCCACCCCTCCATACGCCCCCGACTCGGATGTGGCGAGAGAGAGAAAGGCCGTCCCTGCGTCCGTGAGTAGACGTGGGCCGAGGCAGAGGCTTTATAGTGTCTGAAACGGGCGTGTGAGAATAGGAGATTAATTAATAGGCACGCAAGGGCTTTTGTTGGGGACAAGCTCTCGTTTTAAGCCTCTGTTTTAATGTTAACCCGATTATGATTTCAGCGTCCCGCCAAACTTGGACTGCGCACGCCACCCAGCCGAAAGCAAGCACGCTCGGTCGCCGTGAGTACGTTGGTGTATATTTTATACGGAGGGGGTTGTTGGAAACTGAAAGATTTTCGAGCATTTTGAAGCTTTTTTCTCTCCCCCCCCCCCCCCCTCCTGTTAGTAATTTTTTTAAAGGGTTTCTTTGCTTTTTTGTTTTTCGAACCTAGTCGTTGATCGTTGTCATTACACGTTGCTTAAATTCTGGGGTTAGGGGTTGGGGGGGGGTGTTTACGGAAACCTTTGTTTAAGGAATAAAGAAAGAAAACTAATCTTGAATCAACTTGAGAAGAGAGGAAAGGTCACCCCCAGTTAAGACGGCAGCACCCCTTTTACCGCGTACCATAGTTCACCGGGCTGGTAGAGCCCCTGTGTTTGTTTTTTTGACAGGAAGAGGAATGTGAAGGTGTATACGCTGTACCGTGGAGAAGAGAGGTTCGGTAGCAGGAAAGGACACCGTTGATTTAGTCTTGGGCCCAAGAAAGCCCTGTTTTGTGTTTTCACTGTACCTTTCATAACTCTTGATAAGACAAAAAAACACGGAAATCAGCAGAAGCTAAAACCGCAAACATCTACTCATTCTATAGCTTTCGCCACCCGTTTGAAGATGCATTGTGAATACGCGTGCCCATTAGCGAGTCTGTAGTGTTCGTATGTAGCTGCGGTTTAATGTGAAAAACCCCCCCTTTGTTTGCATCATATTTCATTACCAAATTACATTGCATGTAATCACTTCTTTAAATAAAACCGGTTTAACCGAACGTGGGATACCCATCTTTTGCGTGCTCTCTGATCGCCTTCTGGAATCTCGCTCTTCCTCCTACGAGATTGCAAGCCAAAAAAAACAAACGGCAGTTCTCTTGCAGATGTTCGAATTGGTCGTGTGTTCCGGGCCGTCCAGCGTCGATGATCCTGAAACTTTGTACACAGATTAAATATTTAAAAATCCCCCAGAAATGTCGCCACCACAATGATGTGTATACATCAAATCGCCCTGAATACGACCGATTCCGAAAGCTTTAAGGGGTGTTTAGGCCGGTCAGTATGTGGATGGGAGACCACCACCCAGGATTTTTCTGGGTGTTGTAGGTGCAGTGGGAGTTGGTGTAGCCACTAGATGGAAATACTGAGTCTCCCTATTTGTTGTGATGTTTTTCCGGGTACTTGCATTTTCCTCCTATATGAAGCCACTCGCTGATTTAATTAAACACCCGAACGTAGCAGGAAGGACCCTCCTGAAAAAACTAAATCTTTTGGCCTCGTAAAGCTTTAATGGGTAAAAAATAAATCGGTGCTAATGGGTGTAACTTTACCTCACTTCTGAGACCCTGTTATTAACCAAAGCGGTATGGGACAGCCCGGGACACAGCCTAGGCATAAATCTATGAGATTAGAGCCGTTTGCTTTTTGTCTTGCATCTTTAATGTTTCTTCTTTCTTCCAATTTTATTCCAGATGTGTGGTTAACGTCATCTTGGAGTCATGAGAGACGCGTTTCCATGCAGAGTTGTCACAGCGAGCCGTTTGATGTCACCCTGCCACCCACTACTTCAGTAGCATCTCACCCACGCTAGATGCCCACCGTTCATATGCCCGGCCAAGAGTTTCCATCGTATTGCTGTTACAATGATCATTTGTAAAATTTAAATGTTGTTGAATTATCGTTAAGTCCAAATTCAATTTGACGGTATTGTTTCGTGCGGTCATTGGTAAACGGGCTGAGGACCATCAACTCGCTGCACCTGGGAACCCGGTTAAATCACGAGTGGCTGCGTGGATTAAAAACCTTGTAAACCACAGCTTTACCAGATCAGCCCTGTTGCCCCCGACACTGCCTGGCCACTTGTTTGACGTCTGAGAACAAAAGTCGCAACCCCAGGGCTTGATATTCTTAGGTTTTTTCGGTGAAGTCACGTAGGTAAAAAAAAATGTAATTAATAAAAATAAAATAAAAATCACGGCGTTTCGGAGGCAACACAAGCTTCCGTCCTCAGGTGGAACCATCACAGCACTATAGCTGTATCAAGGGCTTGAACTCGGTATCTTGAACACGGCCATTATGGGGACCCACCACCACCCCCTAAACAAGTGAGAGAGTCCCAGCCCAACAGGGTGATGAACCCATGTTCTCAGCAGTGGTGGTTCATTGCCTCTGACGTGGTCATTGTGGACCCCCTGAGAGAGACCTAGGCAATGGGGCTTTGAACCGCGAGGAACTCATCAGTGCTGCCTCACGGCAATCGGGGGTTTCCCAGAGTGATCTTGGTGGTGGCACGGTTGCTGGAGGAAGGAATTCAAGCGATCACCCGTCGACATCACCTCCTCCACTCGTCCTCTAGGCTCGCACAGTGTCGGCGTCCGTTAAAGAGTTAGGCCGGCCTGCACTGTGGTCAGTGGCCCTCGTCTCACCATCAGAAGCTCATCATCAACATCACACCGTGGTTGATAAGTAAGGTACTGAGTATGTGGAAAGTCAACAGTGGTTTTATAAACTATTAAAGACGGACCCCTACTATTGGTACATTTTCTTTTCACTAAGGGCTTGGGGCCATTGGCAGTGATGAATGCTACTTTAATGCTTGTTTAAGCTGGGAAACATCTTTGGGGTAACTGCTGGAGTTTGTTTAGGTCTTGGGTTATCGTTAGTTGTATGGGTTAGGTTTTGCGATATTTAGGGTTTAGGAATATTCTCTCTCCCACCTGAAGACGATTGCTTGTGTGGCAAACGAAACGTCGTGATCTATTTTTCTACCTACCTACGTGACTTTCCCGAAAGAACCAAAGGGTATGGATTCCTGGCAGTCACAAAAACTTCAAATCCAGATTTAAGAATAAGGTCAGAGTTAATATTGTTTGTTTTATCAATTGCCTGTGACCAAATCAAATCACACGGCATGCACCCAGTCTCATCAGATCTTGGAGGCTGTGGGGTTGAGCCTGAATTGTTCTTGTAATGAGCGACCACCACCGTGCACAACGCATTGTGGAGCTACGGTGTCAGCCGAGGGCAGTGCAGTGAAATCATTGTTGTACTGTACATCGCTTCAACGTCTATGCTTCCCGCCTTCAACTGGCACTGACCATGATTGGGAAGTACCGTGGGGAGGCCCTCATCCAGCAGTGGATTGACAGAAGGGCTGTGTGTGTTCTTGCTAACCACATTAATTGAGTTATTTTTATCGTGCTATCGCCCTCTGCTGGATATGGGTGGAAAGAGGAAAAAACCTAAGAATATGGAAAGAGGTTGCCAAGTAATTTTGTTCAACCAGGTGAGAGAGAGAACTCAGGAGACCAGGATAGTCTTTAATTTGTAGGAGTGATGTGGGGCATTCGTCGGCCAATATTGGGGGTGGGGGGGGAGGCAATGATTGTTGTGTATGGTCCCAATTTAGTAATTTCTGGTATCATTTTCGAATTTGGCAAATTTGGAGCCTCTTGTTGCTGGCACACAATCACCGCCTCTTGCGAATGACTTTCGGGGGGGGGGGGGGGGTCTTTAATGACCACCGCGAGTGAGAAGCAGACGATGCGTAGTGGGATCTTTACAGTTGTTACTGCCAGCAGTAATAAGAACCGCAAACTAAGCTACACTCGGTGTGGGTTGCTGCGATAATACCAGACGACGACGTTTATCGTACGATATACAAGGTCCACGATGAGCGTGTGGTCCGTTTTTTTGACATAATTTGTTATGGTTACCATTGCTCCTTAAAAAACATTGAAATAACAAAACAACTTTCAAATGTTAAATCTGGACATAAATAATAGCCTCTTCGGAGTAACTGACGGCATAGCGATTATATGCGATCGTCATAATTGTCCTGATTAACTGCCTATGTGTTTTTGTGTGTGTACCTAACAACATTTGCGTGCGTGGTGAGCGCTCATAGATTGACGATTGGGAAGACTTTGCAGAAAGCTTGAGCCAACAAACAAGGTTATGGGAAAACTAATTTGATAATGATGGCATTAGATATCATATCGTGAAATCATCGCAGCAACCCTATTTCTGGTGCACAACTGGTAATCCAAATGATAAAATCACCTTCGCCCACTTTTGTCTGCAGTGCCGGTTCATAACGACGCGCGTAGTCCGCCAACGTTTATGTCGATCCACCATGAAGCAGGTGTGTGCCGTATCACTCATCGACCGTGATCAATCGCCGCCGGACGAAGGTTCTCCACAAGCTCTCCGTCGTCATCCCCCTCATGGTCACGCGATGCGACAATCCACCCCAGCTCCTGCACCCGAGCCGATCTCATCACTCCACCTCTCCGCGGGGGACGGCGTCTTGGGCGCCGTTCCCTCCTTTCACGCCCACCGGCCGTCATCCCTTCTAGCGACGCGTCCTGCTCAAACCCGCTAACTAGTCTCGGCAGCCGAAATAATGTCTAACTTGTGTGTGTCATCGAATCCACATGTTCCTCCGCTTTGTCTCCCTGGCGTGATCACAAGCATCCATCTCCTGCGTTCCTCTTTGCGCACTTTGAGCTTTTGTTGGTCGTTTTCATCGGTGTCCGTGTCTCTGATCCCAGTGTCGTCGTAGCAGGTTTTCGTAGACACGTTGTGGTTGCGTTACTTTTCATCATGCAGTCGTTTGTCATTATCAACCCCCATTCTCCTCTGCCTTTCTGATCTCGATCCACCTCCAAAAGCCTGCACTAGGCATACATATTCTGTGTTTTGCAGCTGTGTCCAACTGTTTAGACATCTCTTATCTTTTCAGTGAATTTGTACACGATTTTTTTGGCTTATTTTTTACAACCTTGCTGCCTTTTTCTTGTTAAGCACTTCTAACATTTCCTGTAGTTCATTCCTATCGGACATTGTGTTCATGGCTGTGTCGTCAACTAATCTTTTAAGACGGGTTAATGTTTTCTCCGTTTTATGTCAGCAAATGTTCTCTCCTGTCTGATTTTCAGAAAGCATCTCTCCTAATGTCGCTGTGAATGACTGGTGAAAGCACATTTCCTAGTCGCACTCCTCTTTTTGGATTTTAGTAGTTCACATGAAGTTAGCGAGGCTGTTACCATGTCTGTAGATGGATTTTATTACTTCTAAATGTGTTTTAATATTAAGGCCTGGGTTTGCAAGAGGCTCGGATGACTTACGTCGATTTTACAAATGCTAGACAGTTGTATTTTAAAGTAATTAGTCTTTTTTTTACAGATTATGATCAGCGGTGTGTGTTCGTCGATGGTAGAGAAACCTTTCCCGAAACCTTGCCTTGCCACCGACGTGTTTTGGTTTTGCCGCTATTCTGTTTTGAGTACTCTTTGTGAACGATTTATACTCATGCGATAGTAAGAGGATAATAGGTCGGTAGTTCTTAAATTAAAGTCTTATCTAGCTTTTTTTTAAATCGAAGAATGATTGAAGCATCATTCCATGAATGAAGTATTTCATTTCTGTGTAAACGATCGATATAGTTTAGCTATTTTTTATTTTGTTGCCGTTTCAGATTATATACGTATACCGTATACACAATACTGCTGTAAATGTATTATCTTTACGATAAGAAACAGTACGTGTGTTTACCCAGTAAAGCCTCACTTGAGTCAAGACCGTTTCACGAAAGATTTTGACCGCGTTTTTAATGCTTGTTTAAAAAAAAAAGTGTCAGCCTTGTGTGTGTACGATTAATCGGTGGTTTCCATTGGGTCCGATCGTGCAGTAATAATGTCAATGTATTATTTAACTATAACCCTCCACCACCCGGTAGCCAATCAAAACCATTCGTCACGTGTGCACATGAACACACTGCGCATGCGCTACGTCACAAGAGAGCCGCAGCGGCTCGCAATCGAAACGTCGCAAATTCTTCCCCCATTGGTTATCGACTCAGCCCATCATCCCTTTCCGGAGTGTCGTAAAATGAGTACCAATTCGTGAGGAAGTTAAAAACGGTAGTTTTTGGATATACATAGGATGAGAAATGTGGAATTTCCACCACTGGCTCAGGGCTGTAAAACGGGTGGTGATCACCGCCTAAAAGAGCTTTCATAGCTCATCGGATTCCTCCAGAATAAATAAATATTCTGATTCTGAAATGCTCGTTGATAGCTTGAAATCTCTTACATTTTTCCCCCGCTCTGTAGAGCCTGAAAACGTCACTGCATTTTTTATATATTTATAATAATCGTGTTCTTTAACCGGGTGGGCCTCGCTGAGTCTCAAGACTTATTTTCAGGAGGCTCTTGCATGGGGATGTTTTTGTAAGAGAATTTCAATCGGTCCGTGTGACCGTTGAAGGCTTTGATGGATACTCGACGCGTGCCGATGGAAACCTGTCAAACGTGCAGGGTACAAAACCTGTACACTGTCGACTTGAGTCTGAAGTTACCAGCGGTTGATGTGCTCCACCGTGTTTCAGAGGCATATCCAGCGAATGGGCCGATCATTTTGCCCTGTGTGCTCAAAAGAAGGGGGCCCGTTGCCTTTGAAACATCAGCTGATGTATACAGGGCGATCCATTTAACACGTAGGCTTTCAAGACCAATATCCATAAGAGGTTAAATTACTGGCGAAACGTCGTCCTCAGATTGTAAATGTTGTGGCGAATTGTCACGTTCTGTTTACGTGACAACCCTTACTAATTGGCTGTGTCGGGTGGTGGCGGGTTTAACGACACATTTACGCGATCTAACCCAAATAACCTTTCACGGCCTACGTTAGCCGACTGTGCTTGTCACAGGTGCGTGGGAGCCGGAGTTTGAGCCGTGACCTTGAGACAACTTTCTCTGAAATGTAAGCTAATCGCGCTGGCGGCTCTTCGACAGGAGCTAGCTAGGCGTGTGTTTTAAAAACAATTGGAAGAAGTGAATCGAGTCGAGATGGGTGGGAGATTGGCGTGTGGGGGCTTTTGAAATGCGACGTTTTTTCCAGATTCCTCCCCTGTACTTGAGTGGGCTATCGGCAAATGGATCGTCCTCTTCATTGGTGGTGGAGCGAATGG